AAAGGAATAAGTATTGCTAGATTAGAAAGATCGTAACCCATTTTACTAAAACAGTATATCATATTATGCTTAGTCTATTAATCAACATCAACATCACCAAACGAAATTCGCAAATTATTTTGCATTCTCGATTATTTTATGTAGTTTTTACTAAAATAGGCAAACAGTGTCAGACGAAATTATGAAATACTGAAGAGAAAGTGAATAAAAATACTTTAATTGAACAATCTACAACACTGAAACTAAATATCAATTAGATACAGTTAGATGACATTATTTTGTGTAAGTAAAAAATAAGAAAAAAGAATATACAAGAATATAAATATTAATGATCATTAATATTAAGTATAATATGAAAAGGATGATATTTATAAATATCCATATATTACGATGTTGTCTGTTTTTTAGTATACCTATACAGTGTCGACCAAATGGATTGCAAAAATAAAAAAATATGTAGGTATGTATTATTGAAAGTGAATGGCTAATACTATGATTCAGTGTAGTCATTCTCGTTTAGAAAACCCAGAAAAGATCCAGTGGTTCTCAAAATTTAAGAAAAAAATCTTATTTTTTTAATTTTCAAAGTAAAATAACTCTGTTATTTTGGACTTATTTGGAAAACGGTTTCTTTTATCGAGATCTGCCAGCCCTGAAAATATTTGCATCTATTTAAGGCTCACCCTGTATTTTTTCCTATTTCGTGTCTTTGAAAGGGTTTTTGATAATTTTACGGACAAAGACACTTGGTTTAATGCAAGGATTATAATAACGGATAATAAATGATGAACAGTTTAATATTATCATTAACAATAAGTATCAAACAAATTAAAATTTAAAACTGTCATCAAAATCCAAAACATCGCCAGAAATTTGACTGAAATTAAAAAAATAATTAAAAAAGAACAATGTGACCCTTACGTAAATCAATCATATAATCCCATTAAAAAAACAATTTAAGTAAATTCATTATAAAGTAAATAACACTTAATAATTTTCGTTTCAAGGAACACTTTTATTATAATTACTAGAAACTGATCAATAGTTTTTGTTATTTGCAATTTGCAATCTTAGCAGAATTTAGAAATACATATTCTATTTATCCATTGCCCGAGGAAACATACTACACTTAAGTGTTAATTAATAACTTTCAAATTTCTTTGTAGTACTATTAGTAACCTTATTTTATTTGTGAATTTCTTAAACCAGAAAAAATAAACAACTAAGATGCTCGAGGAACTGTTACGTGTGTTAGTACTTGAGTAGTTCTTAATTTTCACAACACAACTTAACTGTAAATTAAGTACTTGGAATATTAATTTTGAAATAACACGTCTTATTTTTATGAATGACAATTAAGTATACTAGTAAATGAGATTGTTATCTGTTATTTTAATTCACTGACGACAAATTATTTATCTGTCATTGTTTTGGATGTCGTCTGGCGCTATGACGCTATTCTTCCCTAGGGTGTCCCTTATTTTGTTGAATATTTTAGTTTCTACGATGCTACAGCGCTACTTAACCAACGCATGTTCGAAACTACCTATTTCTATAGTTTGACGCTCAAATTTTTCGCTTTTGGTACACTCCTGGAAAGTGAATGTTTTTTTGGTTTATAATTTGTTGATTCCGGGGATATTATTTGCGTCCTATAAAAGTTCATAAATAAATTTATAGTTTCTTTTTTCCGACATCCGGATTTTGTGCGGATTTCTGAGTTCATTTGTCCGGATTCCTGAGTTTACTTGTCCGGAATTTCCAAAAGTCTTTATGGAAAGCCTATTCTTCCCTGACTAGGTACAAGTTGAAGAGACCGATAGTCTTTGAATTAAAGGCAATTGAAAAATGTCGTCTTTTATTTGCCTTTGTAAGCAGTAAGCGGTACTTCAGATCTGTACTGCATACGTTACAAATGACATCGGAATTACTACATACTTTCGTTTTGGCAATATTAAATGCCTAATTTTTTGATAAAATTAAATATTGCACGTTATATACCCATAGTGCCAAACCAATTTACTCATTCTATATACAGGGTGAGACCATTTTTCAAATAAGTCCAAAATAACCTAGATATTTTACTTTGAAAATTAAAAAAATATATTTTTTGCTTAAATTTTGAGAACCACTGGATTTTCTGGGTTTTCTTTCTTGTAAATTTAATAATTAATTTAATCTACTACCTAATGTTACAATATTGTTTTTTAATTAAAAAAAAATTCCGAGAAAAAAAGTCTCATAAAAGTATTTCTGGGGTCGAAATATACTACCCTTAAAAATATTTGCACTTATTTAAGACTCACCCTGTATAGCATGAGCTCAATCTTTGAATAAGAAGACTAAGGAAGGAGCATAATGCTATCCATGTATTCATGCATGGTGGGCGGAAAAGCCACCATAAAAGCTCTCTAGGGTGGGGATCCTTGACAGTTCTGTTTGACGATTCATTTGACACATTTGAATTTGATTTGAAATTTTGTGGATTTGTCAGTCTTTACGGAGCTTATTTTATGTTATCTATTATTTATTCTACTACTGATAGTTGTATAAAGGTAGTAAATCTAGATGGAAATTGTGGCAGAACTTAAATTAACAGTGACACTATCGCGATTTATCGAAAAAGACTCTAAAATAGTTGGTTGTGTAGCGTGCGGTAGATCTCGGCAAAAATTGAGTGAAATAATGGAACAACTTTTCGCTAGTAAGTGACTATATAATATACATACGTATAGTAAACCGATCATTTATGAAATTCACTTAAATTAACTAAATTATATATTTTTCTTGCATTTTAGCTTTTATTTATTACTTGTCAAAGATTAGATGTCATAAAATTTAGATACGTTAATTTGACTTACCTGCTTCAGTAGCGTATCGGATGTTTCTGTTAATAAGTACTTATTATAACTTATCTATTTTTATTAGAATTATATATTTTTATAACAATTTTAATAACTACCAACATTTATTCACAACGTAAAATAAAACAACAAATTATTGAGTCTACCCCACGTCTAACCTACATCATAGTTTTACATTTTTTAAATAAAATTAGAACGACACTGATAAACCGGAATTTAAGTCGGCCATATTTGAGGCCCATCGCGGTGTACCTAAGATTTTTGATATGCTCCTTCTTTAGTCTTCTTATTCAAAGAGCTCAATAGTCTAGAGTCGGAGAATATTTCGACAAATGAGATCATTCAGAAAATGACAAAATAATACAATAATTTAGCTCTAAATTAAAATGACAGGCACAACTGTCACTGTAATGAATAGTTGGGTAGACGAGTGTGTATAGTGGTGAATTAGTGTTTTCTTCTGCTGAAAATATGTAAACAAGGATGATAGCACTTTTTTGTCTGAAACGGACATTTTAGTGTTAGTTTTTTAAATTATTTATGACTGATTAGAGTTTCAAATTTCAATAGATATATATAAAGTTAAATAATTTAATTTGATATAATAATTAATTTAGTTTTCAACATGTCTGTTCGCAATTTAAATCAGAACTACCACAGATCGTATTAATTGGATTGCAAACGTATAATAAACAGAGAATTTAATAGAATTAGTGTATTTATCATTAAATTAAACATTATAACAATTAAATAAGTAAACATTAATTTTCTATATTGGTTTTGAGAGGATTGAAAATGAATGAACCATTCATTATTAGCCATAATTCGGCATATTAAAAAATGTATTGAGGTCAATATTGAGGTGGTATTTCTAAACTAGGGTATATTTACTGAAATTTTTCACTGTTATTGAAAGTCTGTGAAAACAAAAAGCATACAGGGATGAAAAATTATCAACCATTGCCATTTGAAAAGCTACTATGGTACATTTTTTCACTTCTTCTGTACCGGGTGTCCCACTAAGAATAGCTCTCGTTTGTATCTCGGAAAGTATTAGCCGTAGGGGCTGCGGAAAAAATATTTATAACTAAATGGGCTATGAGAAATTGCTGGAAATTATTTTCAAGTTTGTAGAACGACGGCTAGGGGCGCAACTGCAACAAAAAGAATGAAAATGGAGTTTTTACACAATTTTGCCTAGATAAGGTGTACTATAAGTAATAGCTTCATAATCTTCAGTAAATTTTCAATATTTTTTGTTAGAGCCATTTTCCCCTATCTACTAAAATAAAGTGGTGGGGGAAGGTTAGATCTGTTTTTATTTAAATATTAATAACTCTGGACTGGATGATCGGAATCCAACAAGCAAGGGCTCGTTTAAAAGAGCGTTTCTTACTCTATATTGTACCATATAGACAATAATAATAAGCTTTTGAACGTAGACGCTAGTCGCATTGTCTTACACTTGAACAAACATTGCGCGTTTTTTCAAAAAAATTAAATGCAATAGTATATGTAATTCTAGCTGATAGTAGAGAGTAGTAAAAGCTTAAAAAGTCAGCGAAACCCGCATTTTGATATCTTCTTTCGAACCGAAGATATTAGCAAAATTTTAATAAATACCAAAAAATAAGCCCTTAATTACCTTATTTTTACAACACCGTATCAGTAGCCCTCTTAATTATACCTATTCTAACAAAAAATAAGATAGAAACAGTTAGTTTATTTTAAAATCGACGAAATACCAGAATACCATAATACCAGAGGTATTAATATCTAATAATTAAGATATTAATAACAGTGAAAACGAAACGATGATTCAGTGAAGTCATGGTAGGCTTTGGAAAAAAGTTGCTTTTGACGTAATAGTATAAATGTCAAATTGTTATTAGATCAACATTTTGATAGTCTTATCAGCGTTTTTTATCTTTTAATTGCTTTTTCAAAATGCCTTTATTATTTGAAATAGTTGAAGTTGTTGAAATTTCAATATTTGTGCTGAATCGTTTTTTTGTAGAGGCATCCTGTTTAATTTTTATAATCCGAAATATATATAATATATACAAGAAAGATTTTAACTACAATCTACAACTGTAGTCTTTGCTATAACCATATTAAAGTATGATAATATTGCAGCAAGTTTGGGAGCAATAACGAATCCAATAGGAAGCATACTATCAGGAGTTCTTGCTGAATGGTTAGGAAGAAAAAGATCCATCCAAATCAGCAGCATCCCCTTCATAATAGGATGGGTCCTTATAGGTTTAGGAAGAAATATAGCATGGCTCTACGCTGGTAGACTTATCACGGGAATAGCTGCAGGTGAGTTTTTTCAGAGCTGCAAGCTCACAGAAAATTTAAGTCTTTTTTTTTCATTATTTAATTCATTAATAATTTTAATGACTTAAGTCATTTTTCGTAAGCTGACTTCAAAATGATTTAAATCTTTATTCTAAAATAGAAAAAAAATGTCATTAAAAGAAGGCTTAAATCTACAATAAATGTGCCTACAATGAATGAATAATATAGGTAATAAATGTCTATATCTATGTGGCAAAAAATCCCATATGGTTTTTTCGCCACTGCAAGAAAATCTACAAAATAAAATTTAAAAAAATAAATCCATTTTATCACATACTAAACCAATGAATACAGAACAACAAACAAAAAATGTAATATACCAAATACCATGCGAATGCGATAAATTTTACATTGGTCAAACATCTGGACCCTTAAATGCTGGAATTAAAAAACATAAGATTATTTAAGAAAGGGAGATTTTCACAAATCTAAGATTTGTCAGCACTCATGGGACACAGGGCACAGAATAAATTTTAATAACGCCAAAATTATAATGAAAGAAGCGATAGCGATAGCTTCTAAAAGAAAAATAAAAGAGGCTTTTTTAATACAATCTGATAAAAATATGTATTGCTCATGCATCTGTGGATGTTAGTAATGTATGGCAATCGCTTCTTTGATTTTAAAGAACATATATCATACCTACGTAAAAATTAAAAATAATCATACAGAGAGTTTGGGGCTTTTCGGTTTTTCCTTATTAAGTAATTGTTATCAGGTAGTAATTGTTAATTTTGAGGTTTAACCTGATATAATGTCATTTTAACAGAACGTCAACGTTTTTGTAGACGTATCCAAAGACGTATCTGTTTTAAAAAAACTAAAGTGTTCTCGAATAGTTGAATTAAATATTTTAAATAGTTTTCTTCTTTATTCTTTGTATTTTTTTTGCTTCCAACGACGGAAAGAGATAAACTTTCCGAAACGTTAAGCATTTTTTTGTTCGTTAGGCAAATTTGTATATCTTTAAACCTAACTTCTGACAAGTAGTTTCCGTTTGGGATTAACGCCAGAAGTGTTTACATAAAATAACTATTTTATTTTGTAGATTTTCTTGCAGTGGCGAAAAACCCATATAGGATTTTTGGGGGAAATATAGGTAATAATGAAATCGGCAATGGGTAATACCAAGAACGGTAAACTAATAGGATTGCTCATCCTCATAAGACGTACCTTTGCCTCTTTCCGCGCATTAGCTGACAATTGTGACGTCATTGTAGTCCTTGTCATGATAGTATGTTTTATTGGTTGCCTATGGTAAACTAATAAAAATAACAGCCGAGAAATTTTGAGTTAATTATTTTGACGATTTTAAATGTAAAAAAGATGTTTTTGAAGTTTTTAGAGCTATAGAATTTATAAATACGTTCATTTTGTGTTGTGGATTGTGACTAAAGTGCATACGATATTGTTTATTAATTATTTTAAAGCAAAATATGGAAGTACTCTAAAAAGAATGCTTGCGAAAGGTGATGCTGGGAACTGGTGTTCTTAAAATTGCATTATGCGAATACGATTTATGCAGTTAATTTTCTATACTGCATACATATAAGGTGTTTAAATAAATAAACTAAATAATGAATGTTTTGAATACGGCAACCAATAATACACATACTATCATGACAAGGACTACAATGACGTCACAAAGCGAAGAGTTTTCGCATGCACCTGGCAGACACTTTCGGCCGAATGAGCAGTCCTATTAGGTTAACTGTTCTTGGGGTAATACAAGAAAAAAAAATTAACATTAATAAATAGGTAGTTAAACTGAACTTGACTGGTAATTATTTTGATTTAAGTCATTTTGCCGAAGATTTAATTCATTTAAACTTTATGTTGAAATTGACTTAAGATTTAAATCATTTTGATTTTATAAATGACTCAGGACTTAAGGTTTAAGTCTTTTTGAAACTGACTTGCTCTGTTTATTTTATATTTATTTCTTTAATTTTCTTTTAACTAATGATTCATGTTGATTTTGCAGGAATGTCTACAGCTTCCTATACCTACGTCGGTGAAATAACTACTCCAACCACAAGAGGGTTCTTGCAAACCTTAGGGCCTATTTGTGCCAGTTTTGGTATACTTTTAACTTACGTATTAGGTTATGTTTTGCACTGGACTACGGTAGCTTTAATTAGTACAGCATTTGCCGTGTTTTCTATGGTAAGTAGCACAAAATCTATTCACCAACGAAGTAGTAGTATAAAATAGTAAAATATGATTTGTATATTACAAATATTTCTGTACAAATAAACAATCAAGAAGTTTGTGTCTTATTAAACGGTTTTTGCATTTTCCATTACGATACAAGCTTACGAAATAGTATTGTTATTAATTTTTAAATTAAAATATTATTTATTGATTATTTATTGATTATTCAATGTATTCAGAAGATGTTAACCTTGTTAAATAAATAGTAGAAGAATAATAATGTAGCTTTATGTAAATTTATAAACTGGAATATTCTGAACAATGATAATTTTGATACAACACATTGATCGATCATTAAATAGATCAGGTTTACAGTTCCCAAGACCAAATTGATATTTAGGATTTTTTCTTCTGAAATTTTTATCAAAGATTATCATAATTGACGACATGGACAAATTAGTTAATTAATTATGCAGATAAAATTTTCTTGTGAACTTAACAAAAAATATTGAAAGTCAAGGTCGTGTATCCGTTGAAGGTTCTATCGAGCAATAAAGCCGATATTACTGGTCAAAAAAGTACAATTTTTGTATTATACAGGATGTGCTCTGCCCATTCGTTTTAGCATTATTATTTATTTCGTGTTAAAAATCGAGGAAACTTGTAAATTTATGGTAATAGTTTATAATTATTAAGTTATATAATTGATTTATTTATTATTTTCAGATTACTATGCAAGCAATGCCAGAGAGTCCAGCACATTTGGTTAAAATAAGTGGAGGAAACATCAATGAAAAATCTGACGCTTACAAAGCATATTTCTTCTTCAGCAGAAATATTGTAGTAGCTCAGCAAGAGATTCAAAAAGCTTCTGAAGGTAAATATATGAGTTATATTATTTGTTTATAACTATTATGAAAAAGTTAAAATAAATTAATTAAAGCATAGTATAACAACGGTTGTCTTTTAATTCTGCATATACAAAAACATAGTAGGCGCCTGTCAACCTATATCAAATGTCAAAATTAACTGTGATTTTTAGTTAACTTAACGCCAAAGTTTTAAACCGCTTCATTTAAAGCTGTACCGAAACTGAATTTGTTTAGGTACAACTTTTGATTTTTAAATGGCACACTCGGTATATTTTAACTTTATTCGATAGAAAATGACACTCTGAATAGAATGGAATATCATATGTCAACTTTTGACATTTTCGCTTGAAAAAATTGTACTTTAAATTTCAATCTAGAGTGCCAATGGCTGTGTTAAAAACACTAATGTTTAATCAAGGAGCCTTGGAAAAATAGATTTGATTGTCTAATGTTTTTCGTGTCTGGCCGCTTATAAGATGCCCCAGTCGTATTTTTAATCATAACTCAATTTTTTCAAATGGAACAAGGGATGGCTCATTAGCATATTTGGAAAAAGCATTTTTTTATGAATAATTTGGTACTACACACTAGGTATTTCGAGTGAAATTATCGTTATGAACCGCCTGTTACAATTTCAAATAAACCATATGCGAAAATGTCAAATGTTGACATATGATATGTCATTCTATTTAGAGTGTTATTTTCTATCGAATAAAGTAAAAAAATACCGATGATGCCATTTAAAAATCAAAAGTTGTAGTCATTTCCGATGAAACAGAAAATGACCAAAAACAATTCATTCATATACTAACATACCAAATCTCGTTTGGTTGACCACTTTTGAGACGCATGCGGTATATGCAAAATATAAAAGACAACCCTCATATGCACAATCTGTAAACACAAATAATGAGAAATGTATTTTTCAGCTAACAACAACGAGAAACAACCGCAGAAATCCTTGAAGGAATTGTACCTCAGCCCAGAAACGACCCGTCCATTTTGCCTTCTAGTCACATTGTTCCTTCTGCAAGAATTGAGCGGAATCTACACCATCCTCTACTATGCCGTCCAATTCTTCGCCGAAACCAACTTACAAATCGACGACTACGTTTCGAGCATCACCGTCGGCACCATCAGGTTCGCCATGTCCATAGTCTGTGCCTTCTTGATCAACAAACTCGGAAGAAAAACCCTCTGTACATTCTCCAGTTTCGGAATGACTCTTTCCGTGCTGATATTAGGACTCTACGTGAAATATTACGAAATCTATCCAGACCAGGATAAAATTCTGAAAATGTTACCTCTGTTTTGTGTCATATTCAACGTGCTGTTTTCGATGGTCGGTATGTTACCTATTCCATGGATTCTCTGTGGAGAACTGTTTCCTCTAAGGGTACGACCTATAATGGCTGGCGTGGTCATTTGCATGGCTCAAACCTTTATATTTATCTGTGTTAAAATCTACTACAACATGGTAGATTTCTTAGGATTTAGTGGTACTATTTTTACATTCTTCGTCGCCTCAACACTGTCCATGTTTTTCTGTAAGTACGTTCTTCCAGAGACCAGAAATAAAAGCTTGGAAGAAATTGAGGCCTACTTTAGGGGCAGCAAAAAACAAAAAGATAATCTCAGGGATAATGACGGTGTTGAGAATAGGGGGTTCGATATACAATCTGAAGAGATTTCAGTAGTTACCAGATAAGAGTAAAAATACATGCACTGAGAAATTATTTCAAGACTAAATAAATATTTATATTTTTGAACAAATATTAATCGACGGTATAATAATGACCTTTTGATAGTAATGTGATGTTTGCTTAGAGTAGTGTACTTTGACATAAACAGGGTTCCTTATATATTTGTTTTAGAATATGTTGTATCTATGTTTAGATATATATTTGATGATAGTGGATGTTGAAACAATACTCGATTGCGCCAAAAAATCAGTAATTTAACTTGTAAATATTCCTTTAAGTTTAGATAGGCAACACAAAATGCAGATCGGAGTGGTATAATTTAAAATAATACTTCTTCTTGTTTTCTAATGGCTCCTCTACGAGATAGTTGCCAGAAAAGAATATATTTTCGTCGCACCAGCGTTACCATATATTACAGTAGTGACAGGTACCTGTCATTTTAATTGAAATGTAGATTGTTTCTTCTGTCATTTTTTAAATGTCATCGATCAAAGATACATAACGTCTGTCTTGCGTCCAGCTCCAACGAGAAAATACTTGCCAATGCCGTTTTAATTGACATTTATCCTAACTCTTTGGACAAAATTTATATTATCACTACATAGACTATTAAGCTGTCATTTCTTATTGATTGCACACAAAGTTTTAAAAATGACTTATATTTTGTTTTCTCATTCTATATGAAAATTAAGAAAATAATATTCTTCATACGAAAATTAACTGATCTCGTAAATATTAATATCTATGGCGGTGAAAAATATATATTGATTACCACAAAACAATTAAGATTATTTATGGTATGTACTTTTAAAAATGAACATTAATAAATTATATTATTTAAGTTAATATTTTAAGAAAATTATATTAGGAGAAACTTTGTACAATATATATTATAATTAGTATTATTATGCATCTATGATGTTTATTTATGTATATTTATTTTGTTTTATTTTTGAAACAAGAAAATATTTTGATAAATAAAGATATAAAAAATATTTGTTTTTTAAAAAATATTTTTTTTTTACGTAATCGAGGGCACGATTTTTAAATTCATTGTTGCCAACCATGGACATATTCGGCACCGCCGGGCTGTCTAACTGGAATTTAAATTTCCCGCTGGGGATTCAGGTGATAGCTCTGCACAAAAACAAGAAAGAAAGAAAGAAATTTTAGCTTTCAATGCGCATCAGCATCAAAGGCTATTTAGCGGCGTATCATCTGCCACTTTAGTTCGGTACAATATTTGACAAAAAGTAAAAACTAAACAACACGTTTATAGACAGGTTGTATATGTTAACAGTACAGACATTGATTTTGTAAAAATAAAGTAAATGGTACAGAACAACATAGAATAAAACAATAAAACGTAAAAATATGTACAATTTAATTAGTAATTGGTTGCTTTAAACCAAAATGTAGCTTTTTAGATACCTATATTTTAGATTTTCAATTGTTCATTCAAGTTCAATTTCAAGCTGTAGTGATGGCCCTTTATATCCCTTAAGCGTCGTTTAAGAAGATGAGTTTTGTTGATGCAAATAATAACTATTTAATTATATATTTATAATGAATTTATTTTTTCTTTATATCCTATATTTTTTTATTATTAATTTAGTTTTGTTTCCTAAAATATTTTGATTAAAAGAAAATATGTAAAAGTGGGCAACGCTATGCCGGTCAAGCTTAATCACGTGACTAAAAGTTTATTTGGTATTTGGTATGAACTATATACTTTTTTAACTAATATTTATTTCTTTGAAAACACACACACACATATTATTGTTAAAAAGAAACATTATTGTAAACATTCAGTTTCAATCAATCCAAATTATTTAAAAAAATACCTACTACTTACTCGTACCATCACTTATAAATTCATAAAGAAATGGTTAAAATTTTTAAACAGAAATCCTTGAGAACAAAATTGAGCTCTCTCTATTCTAAAATATGTCGGTTAATTTAATATGCACTTGGATTCTTTTTCTCGGGATACGGAGGATCCAGATTGATTGATTTAAGAAATAGAGGATTCTTTCTTACCTTATTTCCATCTCCTCTATATTTCAATTTATAAAACGGGCAAAAGAAAGAAAAAAAATGAACATTCCATCGTCTTAAACCAATACCGTTTCCTTCATTTCGTAGAATTTTTCCTTTTCTTCCATCATCCTTTCCATTTATCCTCTTCATTCAGCCAGCCCAGTCGAATCGCCAGATTCAGGAGAGTGAATGAACGGATCGATGGGGGCTTCCAGCGTCGATCCAGATCTTGGATCATAAAGGAACTAGACACCAGTCAAGGGCGGTTTTAGAAAAAAATTCTAGGGGTGGGGGGCAATTTAAAACAAAAAATGTGTGTGCACGTATATTTGAAGTGAAACGTCTTACTAACAGCTATTAAATTGAAGTATTTGAAGGACATGTTTAAAAAAGTGTAGTTTAAAATGTTGAAAAAGTAATAGTAATAAGTAAGTGGCACACAAGCTACCACCTTCTCCAACAAGGGTTGGGAGCCTACCTAGACCCAATAAGCGAGACAAGCTACCGTTTCGTCTACCCGGCCCGGGTCAACCAGGCGGGCTAGACGATCCTCTGAGAGTAGGTCTTAGCGGAGCAGAAGCACGGAGATACCTCCGACTGCACCAGAGGAAGCAAAAGCGAAAACACTCCTCTGAAAAGGGGAGAGTAAAGAAACCAAAAGAAATAACCTGACTAATCTCCATCAAAGGGCCAGAGAGGGAGTGAGAACCTCTCATCTCTTCTCCGGCAGGGAGAGAAAAAAGCCTGGATGGAAAGCCGTCCAACACCAGGAAGCAAGCAGGGACGTATCAAAAGCTTTGCCGCTATTGCTGGACAAGTGAAAATGGCGGTGCTGCCAAAGGATTTCCCCCAGAGGTCTCTCTGATCACCGACCAGCCAACGTCTCTAGAAGAGACTATACTGGACGATCGGATCGCAACACAATGATCTACAAAATGTGGGTCAGCTGCGTTTTGCGGGGATACACTTTCGGATGGGCATGATCCTCATAGATTGTGTATCTTAAGAATCAGCGAATTGATTGGTGGAAATCGCACCTAAGCTTAAAAATTGGCAGGGCCGGAACTGGTTGCAGTGAAGGGAGAAAACATCCCTAAAGGGGCGGCCATTACGGTCTTTCTGCCGAGGAGCAAGGAGAAAGACACCACCTACCTACTGAGCCTTATCCAGGGTCAGAACTACAATGTAAGGACATCGAGTTGGCGAGTCATCAACTCGAGGGAGGAGGGTCATGGTCAGGTCCGCACAATAGGAAGTGACCTCAAATCCAAGGAGGCAATAGAGAAAGATACCTACGGAAATAAAAATATAAGAAATACTCTATTATAGATACGGGACAACAACGGTATCAGGTCTAAGGAGAGACCAAGTTAAAGAGGTGGAGAAAATGGAGACAGATCCTCCAGCCTCCACCTCACGGGTTCCTCAGCCGGAGGCAAGCTCCTCGACTGTGAAGGGCGATACGGAGGGCCAAACTCCAACCGTGGAAAGGTCTGTACCCTCGGACGAAAAACTGTTGTCATCGGAGAATGGGAAATACCCTGTCCCCTCTGCAACAGGGGTATGATGGTTTATAGACTAATGTGTGATGATTCAAGGAAGGGGGGCACAATAGATCTTTAAGGTCGCAGTGATTAACCCCCTCTTATTCATTCTACATTGTACATTCTCGTTTATGAGTAGCGTTACAAAGATATGGTTTTCACAGTTGCTACTTTTTTATGAAACTAAACTAAATATGACAAACACATATTTGATGCCGCTGTTAATAATTTATGATAAAAATATATGAAAAAAAAAGACTTAAATCTGTTAAAAGATTTAAATCTTTTGTAAAATGACTTAAATATTTTCTAAAAAGACTTAAATCCAAGGAGGCAATATAAATACTATAAGGACTTAAATCCAAGGAGGCTTCTTTTATTTATTACTTTCTTTTTACATACCCGGATGCATGGGCTGGGATCAAAAGTAGGAAGGTTTTATTTTCTTTGCCTAATTTGTTCAGCTATGCATTCTTTAACCAACTTCGAATTGATGGTTACTGAGTTGATCGCCCGGCCGTAGCTCCAGCGTTAGTGTGTCGATCTGCGGAGCGGAAGGTACTGGGTTCGATCCTCAGCCAGTACGGTCGCTTTATTTATTTAAATAAAAATATTTATTTATCTAAATAGAGCGACCAACGAGCCGCCACCTCAAGGAAGACAATGGCAAACTACCTTGAGTATATTTGCCTTGTACATCATCTCAAATAGTGCCGTTCGGATACGGCAATAAACTGTAGGTCCCGTGTACTTGTGAAAACACTGATAACACATATCACAAGTACATGCGAGAGGTAGCCGACGTGACGCTCTAAATAGAGTATGGCGCTGTAAGAAAAAGAGTTGATCGCTCTTAGAGCTGGTTGACAATCGTATCAGATGGTTATTTTTTGTTTCCGATAGTTCCTATCTAAGATAAGTTGTACGCATTTTTTGATAGCGTAGATTTCTGCGTGAAAGATGCCGGGGTAGGTGCCCATTGGTTCGGAATATTTGGTTTTCAGCCCAAACACTCCTATCCCTGTTCCTGCTTTGGTTTTGGAAGCATCGGTATAACACGTGGCATGGTCTTTTACCTGCTGATCAAAGGTATCGCCCTTCCAATTCTTTGTATCTCATCTATGGAGGAGTGGAGTTTTCCTTTTCAGTCCTGTTTCAGTCAAAAGAATATAAGAAAAGCAATAAATGTAATTAACAGTTAAATAAAAGCGGCATATGTTGATTACCATGATGATGATGATGATCATGGAGTGATAATGATAAATCAGTTTTCTGACTGATCATGCTAAAAAGAAACATGAACAAAATTTTCCTCTTTAATAAAGATTGAGGACCACATACAGAGTGGTCCGAACTGCATTACGGAAACTTCGGCAGCATATTCTGCAGATAAGAATAAGTAAAAAAGTTCGTATAAATGTATGTCCTAAAATTATTGGTTTCGGAGATACAGGGTGTAGAAGTTTTATTTTCATTTCGATTTTTTCCAAATAATTTATGAAGTAACGTCAATATTTGGATGGAAATTGGTGTCCGGGTGTTTTTTTGATATGAGAAATTTCATTTTGATGTCAATATGACTTCTATTTGTAAGGAGCGCTACTTATATGTGTTTTAACTGTTTTGAAGAGTAATAACTTTTTGTCCGTACCTAAATAAAACTACTGAGTAAAAAAATATACATTTACGACGTTTTTTACGTTAAAAATGTCTCTTGGTAAAAATCGCTACGAGTAATGGTTCTGGAGATATTCCGAATCGAATTTATCAATACCTGTCATCATTGATATAAATTAAACATGTTGATTAAATAGTTATTAGACTGAAATAATAAATTTTAAATGTTTGTGTGTCAAAACTGTTGAACAGAAACTGTTTTATCATGATGATCATGATTAATTTAAGAAAATAAAAGCTCCCAAATTTATCATTTCAGTCAAATAACTATCTACTCAGCATGTTTACTTTTTTTTGTCAACAAAAACATGTATTGACTATTTCCATTCTAAATATCTTGAGAACGGTTACTCGTCGCTATTTTTAGAATATGCTTCCGAAGTTTCCAGAATACTGTTCGTACCACCCTGTATATCACGTCTTCTGTAACTGTACGGCCCATTAAAGGGGTACCACTCTACTCCCTTAATGATCCATGGTCTAGATGGCGTCGCGACGGTCTGCCCGAGCTTCACTTGTTTTCCGGCGCCCATTCCAGTCGATAGATATCAGTCGGCCCTGAGTCAGCTCTGGCTAACTGGCTGGCCCAAAACGTCGTCTATTTCTCGATCCATAGAAATCGGGAACAGATTTCAACTAAATTCTACCGATCGGTGAATCCGGGTGACTGAAGAAGGGCCAAGACAAAAGAATCGAGGTAAGAAAAGATATTATAGAATTACAAGTTATAGGTCGGCAAGATTAAGAGTCCTGTTATTATGAAATGGATTAAAATCATGAAAAGAGTATTAAATGTGGTATTTCTTTCTGTATTAGGGAAAAATATCAATATATTCGTCAATATATTTGAAATAATTTAATAAAATATTATTTTTGGGACACGTTCACTTCTTTTTATTTATTTTATTTAACTGGGTTTAAATTCGCTAATATATTTTTTGTTATCTGTCAGAGCATCGCATATACAGAACTTTATGCTCGTGCATCGGAAGTTTTATGTTATACAGGGCGTTTCAAAAAACATGTGCCATCTCTCGTGGGATATTCCTCACATAACAATAAGATTTATTTTTCATATCAACATAGGTCCGATTCTGCTGTGTTTCGTAGCTACAGGGTGTTAAAATCTTGATATTTTTTCGATTTATTGTAATTTTCTTCCAAGCACTTTTAGCGTTTCGTATGAAATTTTTAGGGTAAAAGTTACTATATATGTTATCATTGGAATATTTTTCTAAAAAGAGCATGTACGCTACTGACTTGTTAGCGAAATAGTGTTTAATGCCTATCAAAAGTTGTCTCTTGATAATTTGTCGATTTTGGCCTCCTTTATGAGGTAAACGCACTTTTATTAATTTGTCTTGATCCAAGTCTAATTGCAACTTTAAAAAAAATTAATATCATTAACTTGCAAAAGTTTTAAATAAGTACTCACTGATTTCTCATAAAAAAAATATAAAAATAGGTTCCTATAAACTTGGGCATAGAAATGCATAGTTTTAGATTTATAGGATGTTAAAACTTTTTAAAATTAGGTTTTTTTGTAATTACCTTAAATGCCATTATTTTTTTATTCGAAATTACTGTAGGTTAGACTAATACTAATAATAACTAATAGTGATAATATTTAATAATAAAGTAGGTAAAATATATAATTTATTTTAATTTTAATTTAGTTAATTGTGATTAATAAAATTGCTTTTATCTCATCAAGGAGGCCGAATTCGACAAAATATCAAGAGATAACGTTTAATTGGCATTAGACAGCCTACACAATTTTGATATCAAAAGAAAATCGGTGGCGCACATGTTTTTTTTAAATATTCTAGTTATAACCCATATGCAGGTCCCTGATGAATTTATCGACACTTTTTTAGCATTAAACTTATAGTAACTCTTACCCTCAAAATGTTATTCGAATCACTAAAAGTACTTTGAAGAAAATTACAATAAATCAAAAAACCTTAAGACTTTAACACCCTGTAGCTACGAAACAAAGCAGAATCGGACCAATGTTGATATGAAAAATAAATCTTATTTTTACGTGAGGAATCTCCCCACGAGAGATGGCACATGTTTTTTGAAACACCCTGTATATTTGAATCCGGAGTTTAACCATAGTTTTTTTTTATTGCAAATAATTAATCTTCGTACAATTTTATGACACCCGTATTTTTTATTTTACTTCAGTTTCATCTCATTTTTTTTAAAATTAATCAATATTAATGATTTCAAATTTACAGTTTTGCAATCTCTGACGTCATCTATCAAAAGTGTCCCGGTTTGCCACCAGAGACGCTGGTGGCCGGCGTCGAAGCGGTTTGGCATGTGTCATTATATTAATAAAAACTTTTTTTGGAGAGCCTCCATAGTAATTCCTACAGCTCTTCACAAAACAAACTTTAACACCCTTCATTACAAAAATAATCAAGAGGGTACACTAAAACAAAATAAAAATAATAATAAATATAATTATTAAAACAATAAAACAAAAATTAACGCCAAACGCCAAATCCACAAAATACAAATCTAACCTCGAACCCTCGAACGCCTCAGAGATATAACCTCGAACAACTTTGGTAGTGTTTAGTGCTTCGATAAAAATGGCAGTAATGTGTTAATTATTAATCCTACATAAAAATGTATTTTTAACGATCTTAATAAAAATAGAAAAATCTAACATGATTTTAAGATATATGGTGTAAATACGGTAGCAGAGAACTCGACGCGCCATAATATTATTCTTCAGAGGCTCGGTCCCTCTGTCAACTATTCAGTCAAATGCTGATAGGTGACGTCACAATTTTCAAACTAGTGAAATTTGTATTGAATTTGATTTATTATATTTTATTTTATTATATTTAATTGTAACTTCGTTGCATTTCTTTTTGTATTGAGAGAGTACTTTTTAATCACTTCAATTGAATTTTATATAAAAAATAACAAAAATTTACTACGGTTAAACACCGGATTGTGTGGTCAATGGGAAATTGAGGAAACTATAATTTGAAATTTTTTATTATGGGGTTAGAATAATGATGAAGATAAATTTGGCTTGATATTTTAATTATTCCATTGTAGATGCTTCAAATATGTAAAAATGTGTTAAAAATTATAGATAGTTATAAGATATAGAAACATCCTGTATATAGCATACCTAAATAAACAGGCTACTTAAAAACACGTTAGCTTAGTGAAATGCTCCCCTTTTAAAAACAGTTAATATTTAACACTTAATATTAATTGCACTTAACTTCTCAACCTCTAGAATAGCCTATTATGCCCTTTTTGAGTCACATCTTCGTTACGTCCTTCCGTTTTGGGGTACTTGCTGCGCAACAAAATTTGATCGTATTTTCAGACTTCAAAAGAGAGCGGTTCGATATTTATTGGGACTGAACAGTAGAACTCACTGCCAGAATTTCTTTAAAAATTTCAAAATACTGACTCTTCCTTCTTTATTCATTTTTGAATCCGTTTGCTTAATCCGCAAGCACATATCTGCTATTCCCGAAAGGCCATCTCATAACTATCCATTTAGGAATGCGGAGCACGATCTTTATCTGCCAACCCCGAGCTCAGAACTAGTTAAAGGTTCAATACTGTACAATGCCAAAAAAATGTACAATCATCTGCCTTTGAATATCAAGTCGCTTTCATTCTTTCCCGCATTTCGCAAAGCTCTAAAATCATACTTACTGGAGAGAGCCCTATATACTGTAAACGATTTTTTTGTTGATGTTTAATTATGAACAATTTTGAATTTTAAAATTTTGATCATCTCACACACTGGTTAAACGTCTCAAGTATTTAATATTTTATAACTCTAAAATTATATCTGTTTACTGCGTACTGTTCTGCAATTGTCCATGTATATTCTTTTTGTTATTTTAATGACTTAATTTTAATGACTTAATGACTTTAATTTTTTTGAATTTTATTATTTGTATTGTGTATTTTTTGTTGTTTGTATTTATTTTGTGTTTTTATTTGTTTTGTGAGTGCTTTGTCGATGAAGCCGTTTTGGCTTTTCGTACAATAAAGCGTTGTTTGTTGTTTGTTTGTTAATTTATAAACACTAACATTTAACACTGGACACGATCTTTGCTAATTATGTTAGCAGCATCATCAGCAGATGCTTAAAAATTGATTTTTAATCATCTGCTGCTGATACTAAGATGGTCAGCGAAACGCGCGTCTTGTAGATTGTAGGGGAGGGAGGAATTCAATCACCGCGACCATAGACTTAAAATAAAATATAGACTGAGCATCTCATTCATAAATAGCTGGAACATGCGGTCAGACACTGTCTTGTTATTGTTGTGTTATTGTTTTAGGTTATAACGAGTGCGACACGAGCGATAGATAGGTTGTCTCTGTCGTAACGGTCGTTCCCTGACGACTCTGCCGAGAAACACAACACTGTCTTTCGTTTCTCAAGTGCACCTGAACTCTCCATATCATAGCCGGGTAATTTTTTTATATTAATGAAGCTATAATTAAATTAAAAATATATCGTATTTAAACTTTTTTATATTTTATTAAGATTTAGGACAGGTTTTTTAAATAAAAGTTTAGAAAAAACGTCTTAGAGTCCAAAAAGGATAAAAATAATAAAATACACGTTATAGAAGAAATTTTATAATCGAAATGACGTAATTTTTGAAATTAATAATAAATTATTAATTTTAGTCAAACATTTACAACCCCTAATATTAATCAAAACAGGATCTATTCCACAGATATAATAGAATCGGCGACAGGGAGAGAAAAAAAAATATGATTGTTGTAATTTTTTTTCTGGTTAAGTGATGTCTTATGTAAATTAGAGAAAACATAAATCTGTTCCATTAAAGCAAGGAAGGTGATAGGAAGTGGATAAAATGAAAACTACATTTATTTAACTCGGTACTGTCTTTATTATACCGGTGCGTCCCAAAAGTGGCTCATCCCCCATAATTTTTTTATATTTTCAAATAAAAAAACAAGATTTAGTATGTTAGTACATGACATAAGTTAGGATTGATTGACGCATTCAATTGTTTTTGGTCACTTCCTGTTTCACCGGAAATGACTATAACTTTTAATTTTTAAACGGCACCCTTGGTATATTTCTACTTTATTCGATAGAAAATGACACTCTAAATAGAATGACATATCATATGTCAACTTTTGACATTCTCGCATATGGTTTAATTGTAATTGTAACACGCGGTTCATAACGACAATTTGACTCGAAATACCAAGTGTGTGGTATCAATATATTCATAAAAAAATGCTTTTTCCAAATATGCTAATGAGTCACCCTTGTTCCATTTGAAAAAATTGACATATGTATGATTAAAAATACGATTTGTACATCTTTTAACCGGCCTAGACAAGACTCGAAACCCATTAGACGATCAAAACTATTTTTCCAAGGCTCCTTGATTAAAACTTAAAATAGGTTTTGTTTTTAAGCGACAATGTCAAAAGTTGACATATGATATGTCATTCTATTCAGAGTATCATTTTTTATCGAATAAAGTAGCAATATACCGAGGGTGCCTTTAAAAATCAAAAGATGTAATCATTTCGGTGAAACAGGAAGAGACCAAAAACAATTGAATATGTCAATAAATCCTAATTTATGTCATATACCTACTAACATACAAATCTGTTTTTTTTTATCTGAAAAAATAAAAAAGTTATAGGGGT